CCAGTGTCACTCAGAGCGGGTCGCCAAGATGATCGGCTGCCTTATCGCGCAGCACGACACGTATACTCGATTGAACGTGATCCACAATCATCGTGACGTGATTCACATTACTGTGAAAGGACAACAGTACGACGTTGGTTACGTGATTCGAGCGATTCACTAAAAGTTCCTTCAGCTGATTATGACCAGATTTGGACGGTCGTTGAACGTGGCTACCACCGACCAACTGGACGTTCACAGTGACGTGATCAAAGGGAATAATAAGGGAAGATCTCGCGTGTAGGCTGCCGTATCCAGCACGGCCGCTGTGCACACGGGACAACGCGAGATGCTGGACCTCAAGAGCAGCGGGACAACCGCCGCGGAATTGCCACGCACCACGGCCTTTACTAATTTATCGATGCTGTTCGCTGGTACGTTTCGTTCTGTCGTGCTAATCGAAATCAGACGCTTCTGCGTGTGCGTGTGTGTGTGAGCTTGTCGGTTTTTCTTTCTTGTAGAGTTGGTGTTTGCAGAAGGGCGAATGGTGGTTACCAGACGACCACGTGACATGCTTGATTTCGGAGGTTTGTCGGTGGAGGTTGAGGTTCAGAGTGAATGGTTAGGTTTGGATTGGTTGGAGCGAGGTTCAGTTTGTGGCTCTTCTGGTGTCTCGTGCGACGGTACGACGATGGTGACATTGAAACGAAGAGGTTCTGGGTTTTCGTTTGGGGGTGGTTCGAGGTGTTGACGGAGTGTTTGAAGAAACATGATTTGTGTTGAATGTAGAACACAGTAGTTTCTTTATTCTTGGTTTATTTGTTTTGGAATTTACGCTTTGATTCAACTTTGATTTTTTTGTTTGGGGTTGGTTTCAGGTGCGAGGATGTTTTGGATGTGTTGACGGAGTGTTTGAAGAAACATGATTTGTGCTGATCGTAGAACATGGTAGTTTATTCATTCTTAGTTTACTCTGTTTTAGAAATTAGGTTTTAGAAAAAGTATTTAAAAAACTTGTAGCTCGTGTTGAATGTTTATGCTTGTTTGAGGTGCTGCCAAAGCTAGCTTCCTATTCTCCGGTGTCTTCCATTTAGAAATAGGAATTGGAATTGAACTTTTCCTTAATTCCATTATAATTCTTTGCGTCGTACATAAGAAACAATTAAATTTCCCACTGAATTCTACGAAAGGTGCTAAGTACAAAAACCTCACAATCCCAAAAGACGCAAACTTAGTTACCCGAATGAACACTAGGCGTTCATTCGCACCTTAGACCCTTTAAATTTTAAATTAACCTGTACAGAAAAATGTTAAACAACCGAGAGGAATTGCAGAGGGGACGGATACTCTGTCACGTTGAGGAAAAAAGAAGAATCGAGCAAATGTTGCTCGAGTTTCAAAGGGTTAAAAACACATTTTTCCTCCGCACAGAAACTTCGTCCCATTATTCGGCATTTAGCAATGAAAATTGAGCATAGTAATGCTGCGAGATCGAGGAAAATCCCTGAGAGGATACCCAGAAGTAGATAATTCTCGTGCTACACCGGCACATTAAGGAGCGGAGTCCCTCGCATTTCGAGAAACGTGAAATCCGAGGCCCTATTAATGGACCATGGGCACTAGATCAAATGAAGGGGAGTTAGTAAAGACGAAAGGTCGGCTCGTTTCGTGCACCTAAGTCGGCTGTTTGCAGAGAAAGACGGACTTTCTGCGAGCGGGCATGACGTATGTACACACGGGGGCAACCCTCGTGCCAATAACTGCCAAATGAAAATATATCTGTCTGCAAACACACCAGCGGCGCTTGAAACACCGCCGGAAGAATCGAGGCTGAAGCCCCGGCGCGATGCTCCTGTAAGCAATACTCACTGGCACGCGGTCGATGACTATGATGACGTTTCGCGTAAATATTTTCATATTCCAATGAGAATGATACAGGGAAAAGTAATAATCTCGTGGAAGATTCTGGGAGAGATTTGAGTGAAGATTGTTTTGGAACCATCTTTAAGGTTAGGTTAGGTAGGAAGATTCTGGGAGAAGTTTGCACAAAGATTGTTTTGGAGCCGTCTTCAAGCTTAGAATTTACAAAATAATTTAAAAAACAGTACTCGATTATTATGAACCAGCCTTAAACACCAGGTCCGGAGGATAATTTTTAAAAAGATACTCTAAATAAAAATTCCAGAGAAAATGACTGTGGATTATTTTACACACAGCTTTCTAGAAGATAATTTTAATTGTAACATTAAATTTCTAGAAAATAACTTTAACGCTCCAAAAAAATATTGCGCTCCTTCGTAAAAGGCAGAAAATTTTCTCGCCCCACCCGGAAATATTACATCTCAAATTCTTAGGTAGCCAAATGTTGCACTAATTTTCTACACATTCGGAAAGAGTTACTTCTATTATTCGTCCATCGAATAATCTCGTTCCGACGAAAAACTTACGAATGAAACTTCTCGGAAACGTAATTTCTCGCCGTGGAGAAGATTAATCAATCGACGAGCCTGGTAAAATCGTTTATTCAAGGTGCACGGACGAGGAGGGCGGATGGTGTCGTTAAATGGTCGTAAAGATTTTTCCTAAGGAATTGTTTTTCAACGGAAACCCGCTCGAAACTGGTTATCAGGTATATTTTTACGGCAGCACCGATTCCCAGAACTGATTACCTTGCAATTGCAGACGGTATACGTCTTCTAATAACGTGACCTAAAAAAAAGAAGAGAAAAAAAAGGGGAAAAAAATGTGCAATCTTTCACCGCGGATCACGAAGCTAATAACAACACACACGTGCCTGGTTGAATTTTGCTGGCTTCGACCCAATGTTGAGTCTCTGTTTCAACATTGTGCTGTAAACTGTTATTATCTGATCAGGATTATGATATTTGGATATTGCACGAATTCTGACCAGGAGAGATTAGATTCAGATCAGCTTTTCGAATAATTCCTTCACGTTCATTACGAGATCGTAATGTTTCTTTTTTTTTTTTTTAGGTAACTCTTTTTCTCTTTTACGTTGTTCCAGATGCCAGCAGCTCGTACAAAGGAGGCTGGAGCCACGCCACGTCGCCGGCTCCTGGACAGGGTGAGTTTACTCAAATTTTCATGTTTTTCGGTGATTTGACGTTTCGTAGTGTTCCACGAGTGAAGTTTTACGTACAGAGAAATTTCGATAGTTGGTAGTCGAAGTTAGTTACTATTCTTGAACATATCATAGAAAAGTGTCATAGAGAAGACAATTTTGCTGTTTTTCTGTTTTCTTGGGATACGTACCAGAGGTAAAATAGAAGTGGTTGCTAGATATTAGGAAGATAATTAAGAAGCCTAAATGACGATCTTCAGAAAATCTTAGGTACTTACAACAGTATACTCTGTACTACATGTACGAAAGGCTCGAATACTAAAAAGCTACCTTCACTGTTCTCCATCAGTATTATTCATATTACACCGCCAATAAATACAGCGACTCTTACTAATATTCGGACACTCTTTGGAACAGTATAACTTTTTTTTAAATTGGATCAAACGACTTGAGTTTTTTTGAGAAGTTAGAAGGTTAGAAGTATACTAGAAATCTACAAAACGTATGTTTTCAATTTTCGTTACAAGCTCAGGTAAAAAAGTTGTAAACAGTGACCTTTACAATTTTCTTCGCGATTCCTACAAATTGCAATTTTTTCAAAAAATTTTATACGCGTCATCTAGTATACTAATCCTTCTATCTTCTCAAGAAAACTCAAGTCGTTAAGTCCAATTTTAAAAAAGTCATACTGTTCTAAAGAGTGTCCGAATATTAGTAAG